TAACTTTTTTCTTCATTATATGCTTTCAGGTGCATCGCAATTACTTATGGGGACATGCAGCTTTGTGTCTTCCGTGTCACAGATTATTTTGTTCTTTCTGTCACATCCGCTGTTAACGGCGATTGGAAACGTCAATATCTTGTATCTGGGGCTGTTGTGCTACGCTCTCAAATTTCTTATCTATGCACTCGTCACAAATCCATGGTGGGTACTTCCGGCGGAAGCACTACATGGTAAGTAACAGCTGTACGTTGTCTTTAAATATGGAGTTCGTGCATCAATAGGTGATTTTCCGTACAACTGCGAGATCTCGCGAGATGCATGAAAGACGCGCGTCGAACGTCTGCCGCAAAAATCGAACGATTTGATTTTGAACTCGAATTTCCTTATTTCGTAGCTCACACCGACCGGCCGATCTTCGACAGAGGAATATTGCTTCCGAATACCCTTACTTAATCGAAATTGCCTATCATCAAATGTGGACAGCACATTATTAAGCATGGAAATGTCCCCCAAAATACTTCGCGTTTGTCGAATCCCACGCGATGTTTGACGCCACTACGACGCTATGACCTTTGTTTGTCCTGTTTTTACGTTCGATTTCACGCATAACGCGTGATTCTCGCAGTGTACGGAAAATGGTCTATTGGAAAGAAGATAGCAGAATGAGTTGCTCACTCAATAATATGTCGAATGGTCAACTTGAATACTAAAATCAGTCAGTCTGATGCCTGGGCTGCCCTCCATTTTCCTTTGGCGGTTCCTATGTCCCCTGGCCCCTATTGTTCTTTATTTGACCTCGTGACCTCGATTTGACCCTGTGACCTCAATGTGACTTCTGTTCGCGCCTATGGTTTTTGAATGTCCCCTGTGAGGACATTTCTGGTCGGATTTGACTCCGATTTCCGCTGTACCCGGTCAATTCGACCATGGCGAGTCTAAATAACGCTAGCGCGCAACTCTAAATGACTTCGAAAACTACTGCGTTACGCCCTCCGCGGTGCTCCGAATCGAACACAGGTCTGATGCCGTTCGGTCGGCAAGGGCCTACTCAGTAATATTCTCAAAATCGGACCGGAACAGGAAGTCAGTAGAAGACAAAAGATTCGTTCGTTAGCGCACAATCCCTCTATCAGTGATAGAGGGACTGTGGTTAGCGTGGGGAGGAGAGGTGGTAATCCGAAACTTCATTGTCTATTCTTGTTTGTGATTGGCCCGGTCAACGTTTGGGGATCGTGACATAGCTTCGTTTTGGGGGAATGGGGTTCAAAGGGCCCAACTCTTTTCCCAGTTACCAGTACTGCGCATGCACCATATTCGCCAATGGTCACTAAGAACTCCTTGAGAGCGATAGGACCATGCCCCTTGTATTTCCCACCATACTGCGTTATATTATTTGCCATCGTATCGACTGTTCCAAATAACACGATTACACGTAACAGTGAGCGCAATGACTACAGAGAATGAAACACTACTGGGGAGGGCAATGACAACTCGCGTGGCTTTCTCGCTGTCCATGAGATCTCGGCGGCCATTTATGTAATTGGTCGCTTCATACCACAAAACACCCAGCCATTTCTCTGGGTACGTGATGGTAATAAGATTTACAAATAGCGACAAAACTCTAATAAACCCATTAGCTCAAAGTACAACTGTGCATATGTACAGTACCAATAAATCATTTCGTTCAAAGAAATTGTAAAAGTATTGTAAAATGTGTTTCATTTTCGTTGGATTCTAGGTCTGACAGGAGCTGCTGTGTGGACGTCATTGTCGACATACTTGGCATTCATCGTACCGAGTGAGTCGTTTGCCACGATGCAGGGAATTCTACACGGAGTCCACTGGGGTCTTGGCAGCGGAGTTGGTAATATGCTTGGTGGTGTGTTGGTTGATGAGTTCGGAGCTGTCATCACGTTCTTCGTATTCTCTGTTATAAATATAGTAGTTTTAGGACTGTTCTTCTGTATTCAAAAGGTACGACTCGTATTACACTTTTAGGCTCTAAAATCGGAAATATTGACAACAATGTGATCTGGATTTTTTCTGCACAATAGCCCCCTAAAAATAAAGATAAAAAAACGAGTGCACTGTTTTTTCCACCCACTTTCTAATCACCAACCCCCTTATTTATGCCAATGGAATCGCCGAGATGAGCTTTCCGGTATATTACGCGATAGACTGGCAAAAGTCGGGACTTCTTTTTTTGTTTTACAAAAAGAAATAATTGTTTTTTCAAAACCTTTTAGATTGATCGAGAAAATTAAGGATTTCTTTCGCTGTTACGCTATTATTCGCGATCACGCGAAAAAGGTTAAATTGACAGTCTAATTTTTACATTCATTTTTACACTTTGCGTTTCGAGTTGAAATTACCCCCCTTCGCCCACACAACATTTGTGTTGTATTGCGTTGTGTTCAATTTGAATCAGAATCTGACCTTTGACACAAGTGGCAGCGGAGATCTCGTTGAGAGCGAGAGAATCACGTGACCCCTCCCCTGCAAATGGAGTTCTATTTTTACCCCTTCTCTATTCCTAATACGACGGTTATATATCGATTGGGAGAGAGCGGAGGGCGAGATAGAATGGGATGAGGCATAAAACAAGTCACGTTGTTTTCGCACTCAATGAGATCTCGGCGGCCATTTTCGTCCTTTGTTATTTGACTGGCTACTTTTATTAAACGTATATTAGACATTAATTTGAAAATTGTCCTTGTTTTCAGTGTTGTCCAAGTGCTGAATCTACTGTGGATGGCTACAATGAACTTGAAGGACTGACAAAAGAAGAGGTAGTGAAAAAGCAACTCGATTAAACCGCCCAAGAACATACTCTATCGTTTTTTTTTAATTTTGCAGAAAATGAGAGTGAATGCAACCCAGTTCACCCTCTCGCATACATGTATCCTAGTCTGACAAGGTCGCGTAAGTTGCACCATCCACGGTGTTTCAATCCCAACACTGGTCTGATGCAGTTTGGCCGGCGAGGGCGCAACTTACACCTATATGTCAGGCTAATAATTTTAAAGGGGAACCTTTCAAGCCCAGGGATTGCACCAAAGAATCATGGGACACTATAGTTTATGTTATTTACAAAGTTAATCTATCTTTTGTTATCCATTGTAATTTTAATCCAGAAAGTAAATTTGTTGTGAGATTAGGCTTAACTGGAAGTGCCCCTTTAAGTTTGTTATGATAATGTACTTAGAATCGGCCTCTAAAGATAGTTAGGTATTACAAGACAATCTTATTTACATATTAAAAAAAGAGAAAGCGTTGAATAGATTATTCATGCAAATCTCCACTGTATGCAGGCATACCACGATATATACACAGCGCACGAGATATATACACAGTCGATTGCATGCTAGAGTGAAATGTGCAATATCGAGTGATATACCCAACTTCGACGGAGCTTATTGCTCTTATTTTATATCGGTATTATTTACCCGTAGTTTAGCGATATAAACAAAAATTAAAACGATCAAAACTGGGGGGAAATATGATCAAACTTCAACACATTCGAAGTGTTATGGATACGCCCCTCTACCATTTGAGATACACCGAGCGCCGGGCAGCTCGATCAGTTCGTTTTCAAATTGTATTCCTTTGTGAAGATAGATTTTATGTCATCATATTAAATCTATTTTTGAAAATACATGCTTCCAATCAGTGCCACACGGACTAGTACGCCGAACATGTTCAAATTAACCAGCCTAGACAGCAGATTATTATACTGGTTTTACATACCCCCTCCCGCATAGTGGCCTTTTCATATCATAATGTTCCTCATCTTATTTCTCTTTCCCAGCAAAAAATTGAGTTAACTTCAATTTTCAAAAGATGTTGATTTAGTATCAATATTTGGTATTCATATTCTGGTGCTCAATTTCGAAACCAAAACCCAGTTGATAACGGTGCACTGCAGTATGCTCTGTTTAACCAGGGCTTGTGTAATTAAAACAGGATATTGTCCAACCACAATCACTGGGAGACTGTTACCATGTGAAATTGTGTCTTGGAAGTACTTGTCAATCTTTGCAGAATAGACTTGCGTCTATGAGGTCTCGGTTTTATTCCTAATGTTCCATATATAATTAGAACATAATCTGCGTATTACACACATTCGGTGAGATGACGTAATTCTCGGCAAAAAAAACAAAACTTGTTATATAATTTGATGTGACGAAACTCGTTCGTTGGCGCAGGGTTCCACCGCCAACCCAGTGTCCGAGTCGGTGATTGGCTATTTTAAAAAGGACAAAATGCCGTATAGTTCACAGGTCATGAAAATAACATATGTATATAATCATATAATCCAAACTTGGTTATGTACTGTACAACATCATTTCTCGTAGAATGAGTTTTTATTGATGAGTCGCAAATCCAGCTATGTTAATATATCCTTGGGTTGGATTAACTCCATATGCTGCGCGCGTGTCACACTGACATCCGATCTGAACTAAGGTGGCGGTGGAAACTCATCACTTTGGGTGAAAGTTGCACAGATAACCCTGGAAACCACGGTATTTGGAACAGTGAAGGTGATGTAGGTGAAGTAAAAAAGGTCGCGTAGCTTTTTCGCTTTCAAAGAGGCGGTCATTTGGTAGTACATGTGTAACTTAAAGCGGGAGGAGTCTTCACCTGCGCATGCGTCAGATGGCCAACTGGCGTGTCATTGTTTACAAACAAGCGTCTTCCCATGAGCCTTAGCGTTTTTAGCGCTTGTTGTTATTGTCACTTGGTACTCAATTCCCGCGCCTGCGCAGGTGACGACCCTCCCGCTTTAAAGATTCATCGGGTTCGAACGAAAATGCCCATGTCTCCAGGTCGCAACTATGTGCGGTAAACAACACTGTACTCACTACCTCTTGGGTGCTGTGTCTTTCCGCCGATATAGTTGCGTCGTTATTTGCCACCACAATTACACTGCTAGGCAAGAGAAATTTCCGCGCGAAAGTGATAATTGCCGATATAAATAAATAATTTATTTGAGTAGATGTTGTTTGATTCATTCCGCAGCAACTAAAACGCTTCTATTTTAGTTGGCATTTTTAATGGTAGCTGTATTCAACTAAGTCGGTGTTCATTCATGTCATGACAGACCATGAGGTAATGCTGCCGATGAAAGATCATCGGCGGCCATTTGCGTCCAAGATGCATTTCATAATACCCGAGTACCATTCGTTCTCACCGGTCACATGCACTAATCTACGTAACAATTTGTAATAGACGCGATGTTGACAGAATTGAAA